ATTCGCTTATGAGTTCTTCTTGACAAGGTTTGTTAAGCGCTTGCTTAACAAACATCCAAAATTTGAGCCTTTAGAGATGTCAAATGGGGGGTCAAGCCTAGCTCTTCCTTTGGCATCTGCCTTGACTCAAACTGATGTGCAAAGCTTGCGTGTGTTATTTTCCTTTCTGCTGTCAGGTCTTTTCTTCACATCATTTACTCCTTTGAATAACACTTTGGAAAAGGAACTTTGATGTCTGCTTTCAGCTGAAAAATGACCTGTTCAAACACATTGACAAGAAAGCTGTAATTTCAGGGTGCCATCTTTCCTTCTACAGTCATGAGATTCATTGCAGATGAATGGAACAACTGAGGAGTAATTTCTTAGTCACAAGTTTCAATAGACATGCAAAGAAATGCTCTAATAGTCAATTGAGGAGCTACATTAGATGTAATTTCTGCAAATGACCCCCTATCAGTGTATCTAGCTTCCTCCTAGCATAAAGAAACACCTTCACAAGTGTATTTTTCCAGGAAATCTCAAAGGGTTGTTCTATTTGGGTTTTTGTAAGATGCATTAGTTTTGCTTTTTAACTTAAACTGCTGTGTTTAGAAACAGGGTTTTTTTTTAGGCTGTGTATCTACGCACCTTTAGATATGACTATAAATGCCCCTGTGCCCCTGTTGTATTTCTGCAGCATATGCAGCTTTTTGGCTATTTGAAACACAGATTGTCTTTTAAGAGGCCCTGATCAGCCAGGTGATTTTATTGAGGAGTTTATTGTTGTAGAGAGCAAACTCCATAGCACATGGGATCCAATGGAAGTGCTGGCAGCCCATGAAAATGGTGCTGTTTATGCCACAGTTACGATAAACACTCTGAAAAGCACTTCCAGTTATTTTAAATGACTTTGTTCTCCGCATCCCTGAACTCTGATCACTTGCAAATTGAAGTGCTCTTAAAAAACTTTAAGTACTCCATTAATTTTAAATCGCTCTAAACCGTAGGAGCCCAGAAACCCAAAGCACTCCTGAAGATCCGAAGCTCTACAATTACTTTGAATCACTCAGAAAATGTTGGTTCAAAACCCATTCTATGTGTTGTTTTTTTTTCCCCAGTGCAACAAATAGAGCAGAGACGTAACATCTTCAGCCCACTGGGAAAAACACCATGCTAAGGGCAAGCCTTCACCCAAATTGTTAAAATAAAAAAGGAGCAACTTTGAGAACATTCAATAATATGCAATGATTGCCAGAAAACGTGTATGCCTTCGCACACATCTATCTACCCCGAATCTTACGTTTCAGGCAGACATCTGCTATGTTGTTTCCCTGTTAGTGATGACTTTATTAAAGTCTTGAAGGTGCTGGTTCTGCTTTTTCATGCTCGCCAGCAGCACGCTGGCCTGCTCCGTCAGTGCATTATCTGATAGGAAACCTTCATGGGGGCTGCTGGGCACTGGCTGCTGCCTGTGAGCACAGAAACCTGTCTGATTTCCGCCTGGATTGATGATAAGCTCCATCTCTGAAGAACAGCTCTGAGATTCTGGTGTTTTAATAAATCCTATATGAAAAGAGAGGTAGGTTGATAAGGGCCTGAGGTTATTGGCAGGATGTATCTGCAGAATGTGAATAGGGGGCAGTGAAACTAATGTTTCCCACCTTTGGTTGTCGAACACTCTTAATACACCACTGGCACAGCCTCCTGCTGAAGCTGAGGTACTTTATGTCCATTCCCATCGCATCTCTGATGGAAATGCCCAGTCAGGCCCAGCTGCCTGTCCCTGTGGTGTGCATATGTGGTATAGATGTTCAGCACCTTTAGGCTGATAGATTTTCACACTATAATGTCACTGCATTGTCTCTCCTGCATGTCATTCCTTGTCATTCCCCAGCACAATGACAACCCCCAAAATACATCTGACTTGCACTCTGGAGGTATTTTGTTATGAAGAAGAAAAACTTTCAGAATTCCTTACAGTTGTGATACTTTTATAAAGGTAAGGGAAATACCTTTGCAATAACTGTGCAAAGTTTGCCCAGTTCCTGAATTCTTTCTGATGCCAAAATGGGGCTTATAGGACTGTAATGTAGAAACTGATACTGTCTGCACCTAGAGCTACTGCCATGTAAATGCTTACATTTCCTCATTGACTTCAGTGGTGTTATTCCTATGCACAAGTGTCTGCCTTGTAGTTTTAGTGACGTAATACTATTACATACATGTTCTACTATCAGCTGCACCCCTCCTACTGAGCTGCTCAGGGCTGCCGTAGCTCCCATCAAGTCCTGGTGCTCAGGCTGTGACTGAGAAGAAAAAGGCAGCAGTTCTGCTGAGCCCCCTCCTTTTCTGAATCCAAAGCTCTATCACTTCATGATTGCTGTGCCCAAGGCAGCCTCCAACCGTCACATCACCCGCAAGTCCTTCTCTGTTCACAACAGATCCAGCTTGTTCCTGGGATGACAACTATGTCATAGTTTTCTTTCTGCACAATGACTTCCATCCAGCTCTTTCTGTTAGTTGCCCATGCTGTGTGCCTGTAAACTTGTAAAATGCTGTCTGTTCATACATCCTTTCCACATTTCCTGCTCTGCTCTCAAAGTGGGAACAAAGCTACGGTTTGCTGAATGCTGCCTGACTTCACTTTCTCAGCATCTTCTGCTGGGGACAAAGGACACAGTGTGTGGGACTGGCAGTCTCTGAGTGTCGGCCACCAGACATTGACAGACAGGTTTCATATTCAGTGAGGAAAATATCACTCCATTTAATTGTAAGGTTGCTTATGGACAAGACACGTAAGTGTAAATGAGCTCCAAAGAACATCTGTGACAGGTTCCTGGCATGTGCTAGGAGCCTCTCTCTGCAAGTGAAAGAACATGAGAAGAAAAGAGGCAGTTCTAGCAGCTCAGTGAGAAGATGCTGCAGCTCCATCCTGTCTGGCTTCATGCCCATGTCTGGACTGCATAAAAACAGAGGAAAAGGACTTGCTTTTTAGATGCAGATCTGAAGCCATCAAGCACAAAGGAACCCTTATCCCAGATCACCAAATCAGGCTTTCACAGCCCAGTGCCACCTCTGGCCCACCTGCATACCAGATATTTAGGTTTCTCTTGCAAAGAATATTCCCCACCTTGACAGCATCCAGGACACTTGAGTGTAAGGTAGAGAAGAGCAGAGGCATCTCTAGACCAACTCAGGGGCATAGTGGCTTTGGCTTGCTTCTTTGGGCAAGGAGAAGAAATAGAGGTGTTCTCCTGTGATGCTTGTTGCATGGGGTAATGATGAAGTTGAGCCCAGGGGTTAATACGACACTTTGGAATCTTGTGTTTCCAGTGCACAGTGTCCCTGCTCATCTGCCCAGCAGCAGGAGGTGGTGGCACCGCTGTCCCCAGGGGACATGGTGTTGCAGGGCGTGCTGTGTCCTGCTGTCCTCTCATCTCTTTAGTAAGACTCCTTGCCTCCCTTGGCCTCCAGGCTGTGCAAGGTGAAGTGGCTCTTGTTCACGTAGATGCTCAGCAGCAGAAAGCCTCCCACAGGAGCAACATCAAAGCCAGAAGTTAGTTCTGAGATGGGAACCTCAAGAAAGTGGTCAGTGCATGGGGCTGGCTGCTGGGCTGGCTGGGCACTATATGTATTTCTTATTACTTACGTATCAGAGCAACCCCCTGCGAGAGCTGGGACTCTATTTGAGACTCTCCGCTGTGTGCATCAGGCCCTGGGCTGCTCCAGTGGAGCAGAGTTGGCCGTTTTACCCTGTCCCGAGGGATCTGCGCAAGCTCCAGCTTTGTTAGTGATGTTTAAGAAGATCCTGCAGACAAGCTGCTTCCAGCTAATATCTAATCAAAAGGAAATACCCTTTTGGCAAGGCGTGGGAGCAGCGCAGCGCTGGGGACAAGTCACACTCTGATCTTCAGCTCCTGGAGGAGAGTGAGGGATGACTAATATGTAATAAAGCAGCACAACAGGTTTGCCCCCGGTAAAGCCTTTGATTTCAGCGACAGCCATTGACAGATGAAACTAAGAAGTGCTTCATATGCTCAGATAAAGCCGTCTGGGTGCCATCATAAATAGAAACTTTAAATAGACTTTTTCTTGTGCAAAGGATGAGAAGTAACAGCTCCGCAGGAAAGCTTTTGGGGCTCTCCATTAAGTCATTTGTTCTGCATTTGTTTTCCCAGATAACTTTCAAAGTAGTATTTATCACAGAGTACATAATTCAGCATCTTTTAAAAATATAAATAAAATTTCATATCATTGCTTCCAAGAAACAGTATCAAATATTTAGGTTTTCCTCCTTTCTTAAAGTAACTGTTTCTGTCAAAGGACTGTGGCCTCCTGTGTGGCTGAGCAGTGCAAACCTTTCATTCAGTCAAAACAACCATCAGGCACTTCAGCATTTCCGTAACTGGGAAATCTGTTTAAGAGCTATCTCTGCTTTTAGGCTCTGATCTCTGCTATGTTCAGCTAGGGGAAAAGAATTGGAAAAGTTATTTTCCATCACTCTGGGGAGATTTTCACTCTGGGAGCTCGGCGTTGTCAGTTGCCTCTGGCACAGCCCTAACTCCATGAATACATCAAGGACTGACTTTGAGCCCATGCATCTTGAAGCATCCCTATAACTGCATAGAGGGAAGGATGTGCTGTGAGAGGACTTGATTCCATGGCACCCTGCATGGGATGGCCAGTACCTTCTGAGGTGCCTCATAGCAGTGGGTTGGGGTTTTTTGGAAGGGCTAGAGCAGTCCCAGCTGGCTCTGGGCTGCTCCCCTTTCCCATGGCTTTGTTTGAGGACAGGGTGAGAGCCACTGTCCCTGCTCCTCATGGAGCTCCCTATCCCACCTGCTCACCACTGCACAGGGCGCTCAGCAAGTCCCCAGTGAGGTAAAGGCAAAGGCAGCTGGGTTGGTGTAAAGTTTTTCATCGCTACTCCCTCCTTATTAATGCCATGTAATCAGTCAGTCCACAAGTGATTAATAATGGCTCTAATTGCCTTTCTTCTCTGCCTTCCCACTGGCAGAGGCATCTGCACAGCCTGCTTTTGCTGAAATCTACTTAAGTGCTCCAAGACAGTGAGTGTGTCACCTCTGCACAGGTCTGGTCCCATCACTGCCAAGCTTTGCACTGGCACCCAATGTGCAATCAGGAGGTGAAGTGAGCATCCCATTAGCTGTCAGACCTCTATGTTGGTGCCAGGGGCTGATTCAGTTCATTTTCAGTGACTGTACACACTGATTTATTCTGAATTTCATTTTTAATTAACGGGCACTCACCCCAAAAAGCTATTTCCTGGTGTGGAGGTTGTGTGAATGCACCAGAAATGCAATAAACAGCTGCGCTTCAGTGTTTTTGTTCCCAAAAGTAGCAGTGAAGTGAAGGACTGGTTCCCTGTACAGCACTCAGCAGTATGAGAGGTCAGAAAGCATAAGCAATGCAGCTGTGATATGAGACCACAGCCACTGCAGTGAGATGGCGTCCCTCCAGCTTGGGCAGGGATTGAGATGCAGCAGCTCCAGCACTGCCTCTCTGCAACAGGAAGGACCAGAGCTGCTGCTTTTCTTGCCAGCTCTTTTCTTTACCAACTCTTTGCAGCTCTCAATAGCTTAAGAGAAGATTTGAAGATGTATATGAAGACATGGCTCCAGAGGGTACTTTGTCAGCATTGTGATCCCAAGGGACCAATGTGCTGTGGTGGTATGGAGAGCAGGCTCTTCACCTTGTCTGCACCTGCTTGGTTGAGCATCACCCCAGTGAAGTGCAGCCAAGCTTTTGGTGAGGTTGACTGGACCCACCCCAGCGAGGATCTGCAGCTAGTGATCCAAAGCCTATGCAAGATGAGCAGCAAGGGTGCAAATACACCCTAAAGCACTTCAGCCATCATCAGCTACTAGAAGGAGAACTAACCTGAAATCCATCATTCCTGTGTGGAAGCCAAATGACTGAAAAATCATTACATGTGCCAGCTCTTAAGTGCTGTGTGATGAGGTGCTTAGCAGTTGATCATGTAAGAAAAGAAACCGCTTTATGAAAGAGAGGGAGGGGAAAGACAGAAGAATCTGCCTACACCGAACTGAGCCCTCTCCAAGAGATGAGACACAGGTTTTGTTGCACTGAAGTAACTGCTAAAAAAGAAAAAAATTGAACTTTGTGATGGAAAAAAAAAAGTCTTGGTACAATAGGTGGAGTCCCAATAGTAATGGCTGCAGTCTCCAGCTGTGTCATTGCCCTAATGAAAGATCCTGCTTTTCACTGCGAAACCTGGTGAAAACATTCACCCTGAGAGCAGATCCACTTAGGAGCATGCTGCAGCCAGCAGTCCTCCCACTGCGCAGCGTTTCAGCACCCCTTTATTAGTCCTTTAGGATTTTTTACCTAATTACCTATCTTCAGCCCCAGATCTCTTTGTGAGAAGCTGATCTGCTGGGCATAGCTTCACCACCCACCCATTCTTGCTAAGCACAAGTGCCACAGTCTCTTCCAGCTCATACCTTGCCTATAACTTAAAGAAAACATGGGTGTTTCAACAAGTTCAGCTAAGCATCAGGGACTTCTCCGTTGCTCACCACTCATCCCAGCATGGGTCAGTGTCTATCCAGACCCAATGGGGTTTCATGTGAAACGTTGCCTGCCTTGAGGCCAAGCAGTGATTTCTGTGGAAATCCCACTTGAAGCATACGCCCATCCACTTATCTTTGACAGGTAATTCTTTTAGCTTGTATTTAATTCACTTTGTGTGCTGTGTTGGTTTTGTACTGAGCCGGCTTCTTGTGGAATACTAAGTCAAATATTTTACACAAGCTTAAATCAACACTATTTCCTTTATTAAGTGTAATTGTAATCTCATTAAAAAAACCAAACAACTAGCTAGTTTTAGAAGATCTATTCCTTATCAGCCCCCGTTAATGGGCATTAATGATATTATCCCTTCCTATTTTTTCAGTCTCTGAAGTTGTTTCTCATTGTCTGGGATCCATTATCTCCCCATGATCAAAGCTCAGCAGGCCTGTCAATATCCCAATCATTCCACTTCCCCTGAAATAGCAGCTTTCCTTCTGCTGTAATTTTGCCTGTCCTCTATGAGCTCTGCAAAACCAGCATTAGCGGCCCAGAAAACACAGTAAGTTCTCTTCAAAGCACTTCTATGCAAATCATTTCAACTGCTGATTTGAAGATGCTTAGCTCTTGTAACAATTGCATGCTACCCCCTGAACTTCTGTTATGCAAATTGTTGTACCATCATCATCTGATGGGAATGCATCATTTGTGGTTGTTTTTCTCCCCACATTCAGAACAGGAATACTTGTTCATTGAAAACATTTGCCTTTCTGCATAATTATTGCCATTTCTATAATTTCAATTTGGTCACAGTCCAAAGACATTGTTTGGCTTTGCTTCATCCCTAATATATTTTAAAGACTTTTTCGTACTGCTCTTTTCTCTGGAGCTGCAGCCTGTCTCTTGTATTATTTTCCTCCCCTTATCTAATTTATCCAGTTTCTAATTTCCAAATTACACTAATTGCAACTTTACCCTTTTCTGGTTGTTTTCTATTTGGATGCAAACATTGCTCTTTTCATTGTTTCTCTGTGACATGTTTGATTTCTGTAACCAACTCAGGGATCCTTTGCTAGAAGAGGGACTGGGGCTTTCAGAGGCTTTGGTTGCAGGAGCCTACAAAGGTATTTCTGGGTTCTGTTTCACAGTTTGCCCTGGTACAGAAGTGTTTTGCATTATAAAACTGTTTTTTCCAATGTACTGATGCAGAGGGTTGACCAATGCACAGGGGGGGTTGTACAGGGGGGTTGGAGGAATTCGATTGCTTAAGCAAAGGTATTGTCTGTACCTATCATGCCTACTAAGCAGAACAAAAGCACTAGCTATTGATAAGGAAAAGCAGACACCTGGTTCTATTGACAAGGAAAAGCAGACACTTGGTTCTATTGAAAAGGAAAAGCAGACACCTGATTCTACCGATAAGCACCTATTGATGGGGAAAAGCAGACCCCTGAATCTACTGTTAAGGAGGAGAAGCAGATGGTTGATGGCTGGGACCAAACCCTAAGGCCGTATGTGAAGACTAAAAGGTGAAAAGTTCAAGAAGAGGAAGACTCATTTACTTCATCTTGAAGACCCCTACCCACAGGAGGAAGACTCATTTACTTCATCTTGAGACCCCTGCCCATGACCAGAGGGGGCACTGCGCAGGCCCAAAGGACCTTCTAGCTCACTGTAATACGAAGCGGGGATAGGACATGAATATGACAGGCGTATGGTGCAACCTTATAAATGTAGAGGGAAACAACACTGGGGCACGCATGACTTTGAGAAATTATCCCCGTGCGTCTCAGCGCTGAATAAAAAGCATACCTGCTTTACAACTTTAACGAGTTGTGGAGTCAATCCGCGTATCAGTACCAAATGGGTATGTGACCAGCTGAGGTTTCTTTCCAGCTTTCCATGAGTTACGATGAACACTTGAGCTTTTCCTCCTGGAGGAATGGCTATAGCTCTGTCCTGGAGTTAATTCCTCTCTGCCTGAGAGCAAATACTGCTCTGTTGGATGCCACTTGTCTTTGCATTAGCTGAAATAAACTCTAGAGCTCCAGCGGGTGCTGACAGGTACACAGAGATGCCTGTTTTCTGACAGCCCTCCCCAAACACTTTCTCATTTCATCTCAAATTTCTGCCTCTGTCAAAGGAATACCTTTGATGGGCTGGGAGAATAAGTACACTCACAGGAGAAGCAGATATTGCTCTAAAGACGATGCTCTAAAAATGGAGTTTCTCATTGCTGGGATGGTTGGGCTAGGGCTTTCTCACCTTGGCTTTTCTGCATGAGGCTAACGTCTATTGATGAGCATTTTCTGCTGGTCAGGCAGCATGTATTCTCAGTTATTTGTGCTTCTGCCTTTAGGTAACAGACCTAAATTACAAAAGGTCATCCTATGGCCAATTTTAAGGATGTGTCTGGCCGAGCTGCTGCTGTCAGAGCCATGCAATGCTCTTAGTGGTAGGATTTTGAAAGAGGAAGGAAGATTGACAGGAAGCTCTTAATTTAGGTGACAATCTGGAGGCATGTTGTCTACCTTCAGGAAGAGTGCTCACCTCACTGGTGGCTCTACCAAAAACTTAGTGACATGAGCAAGGAAACCTGGCAGCCCAGCCAGCATTCAGATGGTTGCCCTTGGGGCTGCTGCCTTCCCTGGACCACCTCGACCTGCAGCTGGGTTTGCAAGGGCTGGCATCTGTTGTCCTGAACATCTCTTCTCTGGGATGCTGCATCTTGAGTCTCAGCCAGACTAGGGGCTTGTACTCAACACTTGTGCCAGCCTTGAGGGAACTCCCCTTTTAATCACCTCCCCACATACAGGCACTGCAGGTTTTATGTGCACTGCTCTAACAATGAGCTCCCAGTGAAAACCTCTGCTCATCTGAATAGCATGTGAATTCGTCACACTCCCTGCTGGTGACGTCAGCAGAAGATGAAGGCCAGCAAACCATGCAGACAGCACCCTCCTCTCTGATGGAGATGCTTTTCTTTGCTGTTTGCTCAGATCATTTAAAACAAATTGCATCAATCTCCTTCATGCTTTGCAGTCTGAATTTTTGCCAGAGAAAAAACCACATTAGGTTATGAATAAATGGAGAATAACGTATTACATCCCTGAGAAATTTTAGTCTTCCACAACGTTGCTACCCACTTTGATAAGTACTTGTTCCACACAGGAGCCGAGTAAGTAGCTTTACACTAATTTATGTCACTAGGTTGTAATTACTTTCTAGTAATAGCTTTGTGTGATGCTCTGTGTAAATGCAAAACATAAAAACAGTCTCTAGGAACTTGCAGTTTGAATGACATAGAAAGTGGTGCCATATTAACAAATGGAGGATCATGCTGGGCCTTTTCTACCCATAGTTAGCCATCAGATCAGGCTGATGTTGGATAAAGTACAGTTACTTCACAAGAATCAACTCTGATTGCTCACATTAAAATTATTATATTAAACAAAAAACCACAAGCAGAGTCACTACTAAGTTTACTTAAGTGTTAAATATAAAAAAGCATTCTATTAAAGCAAAGCCTCACAAGCAGCTTCCTCGTCTTGTATGCCAGCCCGTGAATTTCCCAACCATTGAGCTTCTCCACAACATTGCTCTTCTCTCTTTATGCCAAAACCTCTCATGTGGTCAACCATACCTCACTCTGCAGACAGCAGTGTTGAGTGTGCTCTCTGCGGTGACCAACTGGCAGGTGAAGGGATGCTCCCAGTACCCAGGGACAGGGAAAAAGCCACATTTCCAAAACACAAGGCACTGTGTGCATCTGCAGCATCAAGGTCCTTTGAAACAGGCTCTTGTAGCAAGACATCTGTTGGATATTTTGCATTCTCAGGATATCAGGATCTAAAATCTACAGAGAAGAATTAACTGAACAGCATCTCCAGGAGCCCACTCACACCGATGACCTCTGCATACACAGCAAAATTGATTAAATGTACACTTCCTTGCCTGCAGCTTCAGCAGGGCCAGCAGGTCAATCACATTAATATCAGGTACTCTGGTTTATTGGAGATTTCTTGTGGAAATGAATGTCAGCATGGTTGAATCCAGAAATGTAAAGGTTCTCCGGAAAAGTCAAACATAAATGGATTGTATCTTGCAGCTTGACAAAGCTTTTTCCATTGATATTTCTCCCTAGGCACTTCAAGCTATGGATGTAGTATAGGATGTGCTCTGTGGTTAGAAGAGATGTCTTGTCAGATGAGGTGTCTTAGCACAATAGAGAAGCAAGTGAAATGTGGTGGCTTTTGGGACGCAATAAATCTTCCATGACATTGGAGATGTTATTATCAACACCTCTATCTCTATTAGTGCCCTTTCATAGCTAAGGAGACAATTCAAGATTGCTGAGGCAGGAGCTATCGGACACATTTAAGTTACCTATCATAAAAGGAGATTGACCATAGCCTGGAAGTACATGTTATGCTGTGACTGCAGAAGATGGTCCTTGTTTTCAAGGAGCCAGCAGTTTTGGAGGCTCAGAGGGTGCTTGCAGCAGAGCTAATGGGATGGCCGTGGCCTCTCAGCCTTTCCACTCTTTCCTCTTTTGCAGACTCCTGTCCACACTTCAGTCTCCTGCTTCTTCCATTGCTTCCCTGAACTGAAACAGCCTTTGTGGCAGTGAGGTTGGGAAGGGGTCCCCAGCCTGCTTCTCCCTGCCTTCCCTGGCTGCAGGGACAATGATCTGCTGAAGGGACCATGGATTACCATGGGAAATTAGACAGCAAAAGGCTTATGGATGCTGTGACATATGCTCTCAGAGGGCTTGATAAACTGCCGCAATATCTACCTACTCATCCACTTTCTATTTCAGAGGGAAAAAGGGCAGCCAACATTAAGGTAAGTAGCCCTGCGAGAGCTTTCTTTCTCTAACTTGTCTACAACTGTAAGACTTTTAAGAGATGAAGGGCATTAGGAAGGCTAGAAATAAGCATGATACTTTTATTGGTTTATATATTTTTAGTCAGAGAAGCATGCTATCTCCTGTGTAGGAAACATAATATGAAAGAAAGGTGTACCTGCAGTGCTATAGAGCTTTACATAAAACAGTG